GACTCAGACCAGGTGGTATACACATTCCACAAATTCCAATCAACCACATGGCCTTCATTCATAGATTTCCTCTAAAGAAATAATCAGCGTAATATGATCCTGACGTACATGGACCAAAATGGGTGTCTGGGTGCTGTCAAATGTCATCTCCTCATACTGCAACATTTTGGCTCCACAGGATTGCCCGAACAATAAAGACTTTGCGATAAACATTTTCCATATGCTATTCCAGAGTTGAAAGAAAACCTTAATAAGTAAAGTCCAACAGCATTTTAAAACTTGTCCCAATAACTGACTAGTGACCTGTTGTTTATGAAAGTGAGATCACTGTTTGGAATGAATCACAGTTCTGTCAGTAAATAAAACAGTGTATCAGCAGAGATACAGTGAGATATTTCCAACTACATGTATAATGCAGAAAATAAGTTATGAACACATAAAATGTTTGCATTTTGTTCTTCACAGCACTCCAGTAAGTTACATTTCCAGTAAGTTTACTAAAAACATTAACAACTTTGACAATTTCAATGAAACATAGCCGGAAGTGTTGTATTTAAATTTGTCATGAACATTCAAAAGCGATGTACCTGGAAGTCTTTAATGTATACATACATTTTCCTTGCAATATAACATATTTAATCAATTTTTCAGCAAGATGCAAAAGCATGTGCAATAATGGTTCAAGGAGCTTTAAGTGTGTATAAATGACCTGTTCATAATTGGACATGCCTGTATAATATACTTTTGGCCAATACTGTGTATTTTGGTAATGAGACATGATTCACCACTGCCTTTGGTCAACCTCATACTGTTTTTGTTTAAAAAAAAAACTGGAGATGCTTGGAGCATACAGGCCTCACCTTTTTTTTGTCACTTGCCAATACAGGTGTTACACAATAGTGCGCCGCCAAGGATTTGCAACGCATTGGCCATTCACAATGTGCAAAATCTGTCGACCCAGAGCACATTTAGAAAGGGTCGACAAATTTCGCATGTTGGTATCGGCCAATGAGTTGCAAATTCCTGGAGGCGTACTATTGTGAATCAGCTGTACTGGACATTTCAACTGACATTTAAAACTTACATCTCTGATGTGTGATTGTTTTTGCCAAGACAATTTCTGCCCTATTTATTGGCCTTTAACCACAAGCAGAGCTGAGGCATTAGGCCCTTTCTGTGTGTACAGTACATGTGCTATAAGTTGTGTGTGTAAATTATTAAGATTTGGTATTCTGGCGCAAGGATGTTTTACAATTTTTTTTTTGTATGCATAATTCCCACAGCAGAAAGGTGCCCTGCTAAATATAAACATGAATCGTACTAAACTCATCCCCAATGGTTACTTTATTTCTAGCAGAGAATCCAAAAGTAACTGCCGCAGGGGTGCACTACTCGACACCATGAAGACGATGTTGGCATCAAACATATATTTTCTAACTACATGTAACATGCCTGATCTAAAGACTCATGGAGGCTGCATGCACAATGCATGAATTACTTTGTGGAAAAAATCATATTAAGCATTTTTTCTGCATGTGCAGAGGAACAAAACTCAAAGGTAAATTTCAGGACTGCTATTTCTTACAGATAAATAGCATTCTGTTATGGTATTCCTTTCACATAGGGCAAAATATTTTTTGTCATCTATGGCACAGGTCTCATATACATAGTTCAGGTCTGGAAAGATTCTTCAGTTCCTAGACCTGTTGTCCAGTTTTTTTTTGTTAGAAAACTGGAGCCCTGCCAAAAAAGTTGTCAAGAGTTGGTCCCAAAATAATGGAAATTGTTTTTTTCCTCTCATCAAAAGATGAAATTAAAGCTGGTTTGTATAAAATTATTCACCATTTCATTAGGATCCTATGGTATTGCACACTCCTTTTTGAGAAATAGATTGATGTCGCCAACTTCTTTGGCTTTAACCCTTAACCCCCTATGGTGTATGTAAAATCATACTGAAATCGGAGGATTTGGGACTGTTAGGGGTGAGCAACGGTAATTAAGTCAACCTTTGACCGTAGCATATGGTATGAGTGTAATCATGCTTTCTGTAAAATTTTGAGACAAAGTACTTTTGAGACTCAGTGTGTTTCTTCTTCGTTTCATAGATGAGTAACTTCACTTACATGGAGAATGAATTCCTTTCATTTGTCAGAAAAACACTTCATACTCCCAGAAATGCTCTATAATACATCAAAGACCATCTGATGTCCAAAATTTTCAGGATCTTTGAGCAGGCATCACAGTAGCACAGCATGTACGTAGGCTTGGCCTAACAGATGTAAAAACTCAATTTTTGTTTTTTTTTAAATTACACACATTTACATTACGACTTTTTGCTCTGAAATTAAATTTTGCCAAGGCCAAGAAAAAAAATCTGCTTCCAATTACATGCCTTTCCAGAATAGGGGCTGTAGGTCAGAAGAAAAATTAATTTTTTAGTCAATATTTGATGCTGATTGAATGGGCATGAAAGATACCAAAAATTACCACAAAAAGTGATAAATAATTGCCTAAGTAATCAATGTAAAAAGGTATGTACAGACGACAATCCTTAAAAATTATGGACAATTTGCACTATTATGCATGTTAGTCAGGTGATCATGACAGGAACCTGGCGAACAATGTCCGTATATCACATGGCAAGGCTGCATGATGCACAAGAGGGGCAGGCAATAAACATCGTGCTGCGGCAGGAAATTTTGTGGAAACATGCTCACTCTAAATACATGCACAGTACAAACAATAAAATCTCAAATTAAATTCATGAGCAAAGAAAATACATACACAGACAAGACACAAGTTCTGTGATTTAACTTCAGGAATCAACTCGCAACATCTGGTTTTTTTTTTAACATGCATCCGTAGAGGCTGTGTGTGATTATGGTGTAGTGCAACAATGCTATTTTGGCCAAGTTGCATAGACTGGTTGCATTTCCATCATGCCTTCTTTGGTAATGGAGCAGTGTGGCAGGAACCAGTGCAGCACTGCTTCATTGCATTAAGCATTGCGCATGTGTTTTCAACACCACGATAGCAAATCACGAAGGGAATTGGTGATAATAGCGGAAGTTTCTTGCCATTAGTTGTAAGTGTAAGTAGGAAAACATGTAAAAAACATGTTTTGACATGAAAAACAGTTGAGAGATGTTTTGTGAAGAAAGAGAAGACAGGATTTATAAATTCTTATTTTTTTTTTAATTTGATTTCTAACTTGCCATTAAAATCTTAGGGTCGCATCAAGAAATTAGGGTCGGAAACTTGAAGTAGAACTATTTTTTGTCCAAGCTTTTAAATTCACACAGAAATAAATCAATAGTGTAAATACGGCAAAATTAAAATAAAAACTACATAAGTGACAATGGAATGATTTCCTGACCTGTTACACCTTAGAAAACAGGTGAAATGTGGAATTGAATTACGCTCAAGGAAATATTTACCCATTTGTTCTTGGGTATTGCCAAGCAAAATAAAACTTTTTTGATTCCTGTTTTGAACATTTTGTACCACATGGCCTCACAGCAAGCTACATGTACATTGCTTCAAAGAACGTGTAGTGCACTTGTATCCCTGTATTTTCAAAGTTCTACACCAATTTCAAATCTGTATCACACTTATTTATACTAATGTTATCATTGCTATGGGTTCACCGTTTATATTCAAGAATTCATTTGAGCAACATGTAGTGAAATGTCTCCAAAATCTGAAATGCAGTGCAAATATTTCAAAAATCACACAGCAAGTTGTTGGAATCCCAAATTGGGTGATCTGCAACAGACTTTTGGATTCTTCTAGTGTGTGGAAGGGTGCCAGGGTAGCTTCATTTTATTAAATTTAGCTTGACCATACACTTTGGGCACACACTGTAAAATGTGTATGTTGCTGCATACACTGGACAAACCTGTAAGACCATAAGAATTAACATCGCAGATTTCCGTCCCGACAATTTTGAAAACCAATGAAGCTTTTTTCATCATTCATTAGTTGGTGTGCAAACCACACATCGATAGCAAGTACACGTCCATGCAAAGGGAACCAACCTTAAAAGTAGACTAGCTCTCAGTCTGTCTTGCATCACGCCATTTGTACGCGGGCGTACTGTGAACTGCCGATTTACTTTGTAGCCAGTTTTTTAACCATTCCCAATGGGTAAAACAACATCACTTCCGAGATAATAACTCTTTGAAATAATGAAATTTTTGGGCTGCAGTTTCAGCCAAAATCCAGGATATTCATTCTCATGGCCCAAGTTTGAGCATCCCCCCAAAAAAGTGATATAATTTTGTTCAAAGCCATGGAGCATGACAGCGAAAATGACTTTGCATTAAAAAAAAGGTGTTATCTGAGCAAAAAATTTCCAGTCATAGTTAATAAATATCCATTGTCTGGTGGTGTCCGTGTACAGTGATTCAGAGAAAAAATTCTTAGTTAGGGCCTATCAGGCATAAAAGTTTCAAAAGTTGAGGCGCATATAGGAAAGCTTTAATCAATCAAGTCAACAGTTCACAAACTCAACAGTACCATTTAAAGTGTTCATCTCCAAATGGAAACATGTCACACCATGGTCACACACAGTACTGTGATTGTGCAGTCCATGGATGTAATGTTCTTCACAATCCACCTAACTCCCTTAACAATGGAAGTTCTGCTGAAACAAAAGAATTGGTTCTTTACTGTTATCAAGGAAGATTAAGAGGGCAGGGCCTCATATTTTACACTATATCATTAATTTGAATACTGATCAGTCACTGGAACTTGCAAATGTTGCTAAAAATGATGGGGGGGGGTTAAACTATGACTAAGAAAAGTTTACTTTAAATTTAATCTTCCTACACGTACCTAACTTCGGCCATAGAGCTTGCCTCGGCCTAGACCCATCCATGTTTACAACACTATTAGTAGCCTACATACACCACATGTAGGCCAAGCAGAAAAAAGGTAGGCCTAGGGCCTTACTCAAACATTTGACACCCCCCCCCCAAAAAAAGAAGACATCTGCTAACCTGATTTCTGCCCATGTTGGGGCCATAGGTGTTTGCTCCACTCGCCGACTGTGTATGGACTTGTGACATACCGCTGCTTCTTTGTCCCCAATTTTGAGGCGACTGGTGGAATGTTCCTGACCCTTGATTTGAGATCATTCCAAGTGACCCTCCTCCATCAAGCCCTTTGCCCATATTATCACCCGGACTGGGGTAATTACTTGAATAGTTTGGCACGTGCTTTTGGCCTTGAAGAAGTTGAGAAAGGGTTGGTGCTGAGCTCGAAATTCGGTCGCTGCCGTACGGTCTCGGTTGCTGCTGGTGTGACGATCCATAATTGGGCGGCATGGAAGGAGCGTTTGGACCCGACCTAGACCCCATTACCATTGGGGAATATCCCTGTCTGGATCCCAAGTGTCCATCGTATTGATTGTACGGGTTGTTTGCCATGTTCTGGTTCTGGTTTGGACCTAGGTTCATGTTTAATGCTGAGTTCGGCGGTCCGTTTCCTGTCTGGTGTCCGCCATGTTGGTTTGTCATGCCGAATCCAGCATTTCGATTCCCATAATAACCGCCGTTGAAGCCCTCACTGCCTGTCATGTTCTGTGCTGTTTTCTGACCAGAATTGTCCACTAATTGGTTGTGCATACTGCTGTTATTTTGAAAGGTTCCTCCGGGCCCTGCATACGGGTCTAAACTCTGATTTTGTGAAGGATGGTGGCTTGAAGTCATACTACTTTGTCCAACATGATGGCCATCTTGGAGAATAGCAGAATTCGAACCAGGCACAGATCCAACACTGCTTGCAGTCTTTGTCCCGATCTCAGTTCCACTATTTCCAGGCGGTTGACCAGCCGAACTCATGGCATTATTAACACCAGTTCCTTGACTGTCAGTAGGCCCATTCGTCCCCTCCCCACCAGTATTGTGAGATGTTGGCCTATACTCTTGTACGGTGTTGTCCATTGTGTTGTTCGTTGCTTGCTGGCCCTGCGGACGGGAGTTAATTTCTTGATCGCATTTGACATTTCCAGCGACTTTGGCTGCCATACTGGGAAAAAACTATCCCCAGTATTCCTCACCCCAAGTTACTGGCAGCGCGGCCGGTGCTAGTCCACAAGGTATCATAGATAATCGACTTGCGGTTCTTCTGATGAGCACACGTGTTTTTTCGAGGAGTGATTTAGAGAATAACACCGAATCTTCATGAACCGTCGAAAAGACTTCATCACACGTAATTCTTATGGCGTACATTCTGCATGGCTGAAATGCTAGCAAAAGGCGACATTACAAATATTTAGACTGAGAAATCCATGCGCCAGGCACGACAAAATACTTCCAAAAAAAGTCCACCCTACACTTTCTTCCCATCCTCATAATTTTTTGACTGAATTTCAAAACTAACCCAAGTTTCCCAGGTGATAATGGGCGCGCAGGAATTACCTATTCTTCATTTATTTGAGGACTAATTCATGCTGCCTCGGTAGGACACTACATTCCTGGGCGGTGGACTGTCCCTAGCATTCTTTTCATGCTGCTTTCGATTAGGCTTTCTCAGTACCCCTCTGGCCAAACATCGAATTCGTTACTTGCTTACCCCGGTTTCGCCAACAGACCGAAACAAGACAAGAAAATATGATTCAGAATGAACATTTGGGTGGATTAAATAACATTGACTTTGGATATATTTATCATCCTAAACGTAAATGCTGCAAGAAATAAGTACTTATTGTACAGGAACAGAGGGAGTGAGCACACTGCCCTCAGTTCTCGAATTACCGGGTCGTAATTGAAGAGTGACGTCAGGCAAGGCTGTATTCCATTTGGCCTTTTGTTTGCAGTCGCCGCGCAGGCAAACACGTTTCACGGCTGGATTGAAGAAGTTATTTTCATTTTCGCGGGCAAATCGGTGCCTGCGACTTGAGCTATCTCTGCCCTCCTGCGACGTGCTCATCCCGGTCGCTGTCGTTTATTAAAAGTAACAATTTACATGTTGTGAACTCAGAGATTTCAAAATTGTATTAACAAGTATGTATAGCTATGTGACCGATATATACATGTACATTATTTTTTTCAAAAGGGTGATTTTATTAAAAATAACAATCCACGATGTGATGAACTTACAAATTGTGCTGGGTTGGCTGACCCGCCGAGGGATTCAGACAAAATGCATATAATTATTTCAATAATTTTCAGAGATATCGCGGAAATGCTAATTTTTGATTCAGGGCAACGCCCATGGTTAAAAATGTAAATATGTAAATAATTAATGTCTTTAGAGAAAAATCAACGTTCAAAGAAGTGCACATACTACACACCACCTTTACTATGCTGTGGCCATCAACATATTGGACCTTGCATTGGTTGTTATTTTTCACCATTACATTGTGGCAGGGTGGCGCACATACACACAGCGCTTACACGTTCGCAAAGTATCTCCTTTTTTCAGTTCGTGACCATGGCAAGGGTGCTGCAACGATGTTGCTTACTGTGTCACCTGTCCTTTGCAATGTGTTTAATGGGTGTTCTGTCTCTTCTTATCCCTCTGTCAAAGTCAGGGGTAGTTCAAACAAAAGACGACAGATTGCGTCGCCGTCGCAGTCTGTGAACTCTTGAGGGCACGTTGACAAATGCTCGAATTCCTGGTTCGACTGCTGCCCCCACATTGTTCGCGCGTGTGTGTGTTACCGATGCGAGCGGGATTAAACGGCGCCCCCGTTAGTCTACAAAATCAGGATTAAATAGCGCCCTCGTTAGTCCCCGACGGGGAGGGCGAGGACGATCCACGAGGACGCTGTTTAATTGTAGTTTTGTTAAAGGTTGCAGGCCAGTAAGTACGCCCCAAATTGCGTCTGCTGTTAGAGCTCTTCGTGGCACGTGGACTAGATGATTTGTAAACAAGGAGAATGGAACTAACCAGCAGGACTGCCAGTTAGTTTTTTCTGAAAGTATCAGACAAACGGGGTCCTCCAAATTGTTCTAATTTGCAATGGAGTGTAGGCATCACATTTTAAAATGGCGATGGGCCTAATGACTGTTTTGAGTAGTGATCGTCTCTGGAGAGAAATATCTTCAAAAGTCATTTGTTTAGCCACTGAAGATTAGAGGAAAATGAAAGATGAGGAAAAATGAGCTTTAATTTGATATGTATGTTGAACAACTGAGAAACTAGTATTTTCTCTGATTTTTTAAGTGGGGGTATCACTGTTGTCTATGGCAACTCATTTACTGGTCTGCAATCTTTGTAGACTACTGGGCGCCGTTTACTAACAGTGGCATGCGACAGAACTTCGGCTCTGTTTTTGTTATGTGTTCTTGTTTGGAGCTTTAAAAGGTAGCTTCCAGACACAGAGGGAAGTTAAGTGAACTGTATAGTATGATTATGTCTTTATTCTGTGCTCGGGTGCTTCAATTATCAGGTCGTGACTACAACAATGGAGACCATAGTGGCGCCCACCTGATAACAGTAGCTCAGCACACGAGAGCGATGTAGCGCTATCGTAACAGTTTTCACTTGGGGTTTCTGATGACATCACTTTCTGTGGTCACGTTATCAGAAGAGTCAGCGATTGGACTGTCTATGAATTGTTCTGCGGTAGCTGTCAGGATAGCCTGAGAGCGTGATTTGTGCGTGCATGGAGGTAGTGATTCTACCTCCATGGTGCGTGTGTTGCCGCGCCGACTCGGATGCCGCATGCATTCAACACAGGCGGTTGACTCCAACCAAGGCCTCGCAGCGGTCCTCAATACCTACAATTTTGAAGCAATGTGTGGGTAAGTTCTTGATCGGTGTCACAAAACTTCGAGATGACTGGATGTAGTGTTGTGGACATTTCAGGGTGCAGAGGTATTTTTGTACTTAACAGCATATTCTACTGGCGAGAAAAAAGTCGGCCTCCGAGATAATACGGTCTTTCGACATATATCTAACTGACTTCGAGTTAAGATTGTACGGTACATTTCCGTCCGCATAACTTTTGCTGGCCGCTTGGAAAAAAGGCAAGAGCTGCGGAACGGCCCATGCAGGAAAAATCATCTAGCCCACAAAAATGATTAAGTTTCTAGGACTTAATGTTCATTTTAATGGTGGCACTCGGTCGCACCCTGCTTAGATTTATTAGAATTGCACATGCATTGAAACCATGCATTGACGTACTGTACATACTATACTGGCGCTTCAGCACGCAGCACGATGACCTTCTTGGTTGGATCATCAGCGCTGCGGTGAGAGGAAGCTTATACACCGATGCCGTTTATATGCCGACTTTAAATTTTAATTTGCCGATTTTTGCGTGCTGCAGCTTATACCCCAGGCGACTTATATTCCGAAAATTAAGGTATATCACACAGTTTTGGATAAACTAACGCTAATAGATTTTTCCTCTGCGACAATCTGATCCACCAAACAGAGGTTTTGGTAAAGAACCCATTAGCAAAGCTGTCTACGGGGAATCGCGCCTGATCCATCGGCATTTTCAAAGCATTTATGCAGAGTTAATCGACAGTTTTGTTACATGACAACCAGAGGAGTGAGCCAGACTTCCCCGGTGCAGCTGTGCGAGTCGGCGGGAGAATAGAGTACCCGAGCACCAGCTCCACTGCGGGCTGGTAACTTAAGTGACCATGACAACCAGAGAGATATTCCACAATGCTGCAAGTCAGCTCTGCCCCGCGAGGTGAGTCTGCGCGTGAGGCCGCCTTGAGCGCCAGCTCAATTGTGGGCTGGTAGGATTCAAACAACGAGGATATCTACTCCGACTGAAGCTGTCCCTGCAAGTATTTTTCAGACTCATTTCAGCTTTTGGGGGGTTGTGTTTTTTTATCCCGCAGGACAGTGGAAGCAGGTTTCCGTGTTATACAGCGCCTGAAGGGTACAGTCCACTAATTTAAGCTCCATTGAAAACAGTGTAAAATCAGCATGTTTAGGGCTCAATAACATGCATACCAACATCCCTGAGATTTCTGAAACACAGATTAAGTTATTGTCTGGTCTCTAATCCTTCAATTTCTTTTCAATTTTTGTGGTTTAACCAAATACATTTAATTCCTACGAAACAAAATCACCCCGAAAAGTAACTTTTCCGAAGTCTGGTTGCAGCCATTTTTTCAAGTGGCAACCCTCGATTTTCTCGGCCACTTAGGCCATCATTTTTTCAACTGCAGTTTTTAGCAATTCTGCTCTCACATGAAAGCTCAAAGAACCAGGGAATCGATCCTGGCAACGATTTAAACAATCTCACCAGTTTGGAGGTCAAACAATCTCCTTTTTCAAAAGATGCTGTGAAGGCACTTTTAATGCTAATGAGCTGGCCAGAAATTTTCATTTGAAATAGTGGACTGCACTCTGAATGCAGCCAGCCTGGCTTAGAAGAATACTGTTCCACTACCGGTGTTTCCTCTCTAATCCTCAGCACTTAATATCACTCCGGGTAAAAAATCGTTCAAAACGAGGATAAAACTACTGCCAGTAATTAGTCAGTTGACCAATTTGTTAAGTGGAATAACAAATTAAAATCGATGCATTACGAGTCGGTAAAGTTGCTGGATGGATTAAAATCAGTGGAGGACGAATGTCAATGATGGACTAATCTACTAATGTAAAGACGAAATGACGAATCGATTTTTACATGACAAATTGTTTGACAAATCTTTTAGAACATTACTCTTACCAAACGACATGTGCCTAAAGTCTGATCACTTTGGTTGTCGGGTTCCCCGCCCTCGCCTTGCTGAAAGGTGAGTGCGATTGGATGCCATTTTTGCATCCAGCCTGTCACATTCGCGTATGGCTGTACGGGTGTTCAGTTTCTTTGGAAAATTTTCCAAAAGGTGAGAATTAGACAATGTTAGACCTACTTGAAATGCGAAAATTATTAGCGAAGTCTGAAGACAGAGAGTACAGGTCACATTATCGTTTTATTTAAGCATGGCATGTCGAATGGGACCTGACGTTCGGCTGTTACAAATAAATGTAGGCAAAGTTGATAAAATCTTGAATCAGAGTCCCTGAATCAAAAGTAAGAATATTAATGTCAGAGTTGCGACTCGAGTCATGTTACTTGGACTCGAGTCGGACTCCAGTCCCTATTTCTGTGACTTGACTTGTAAATACCAGCTTTGACTTGTAACTTGACTTGGACTTGCATATAACGACTTGTGACTTGACTTGGACTTGCAAAAAATGACTTGCTGTCACTTCTGATTAGTATTAGATATGAGTACATGGAGTAAGGTGAATATGGTATTTATATTTGGTTTAAAGTTTTGAAAAGTTTGTACTTTCTGTGTTTGTTCTGTGTCAATCAGAAATTAGAGTAAAAATGTTGATTGTAATCTTGTTTTCAGACTGTTATTTGAAGTGTAACCAACTCGAAAGTGACTTGTAATGTGACCAGTCAACATAGCCACGACTATTTAAATAAGTCAGAATGACAAATTAATTTTCTTGCATTACTAATTAAGTCTCCTGT